TCACTGTCTGCACCATCTGGCCAAGAGTCTCTGTGAAAACCCACAAAACGAAAAACAAATGTGTGCTCTGTGGGTGAGGGAGATGCTCAGCAGGGATGAAGGCTGGGAAGCGGGGCTGGGGATGCAGGAGGTGACAGCCTCCCTGGACCACCTCTGAACCAGCTCCGTTGCGTGCATCCACAGGGCTGTACCGGGAATTAAGGAGAGGGAAGGGGCAACCACCACGATGCATGGGAGCATGACAAAATCCAGAGGCTGTGGCTGTGCATCAGTCTCTTGGACTGGGAAACGGCCCTTGCAGGGCTCAGTGGTGAGTCAGTGCTGCACAGTGGCAAGCCCAAGGGCTGCTTGGTCCCAGGTCATCACATCTGGCACCCAGGGGCTTCTCACTGTTTTTCGAAATATGGACAGGTTACTAACCGAGTAATGGATTCCTGTTGATGAGGATACAGCTCTTCCCAAGCTTCTGCATTAATTAATTAGCTGAATAAAAATGAGCAGGGCTATTAACCCTCGTGCCTTGGGGTCTGAGCACAAACTGGAGGTAGAAGGATACCTCTGCTGCCCTCACTGCCCAGCTGCTCCTCCCCTGCTCTGCAGGATGGGTCAGGATGGGAGACAGGAGTCCGCAGTCACCTCTCATCCCTGCACGGCTGCTCAGCTTGGGAAAGCCGCGTGGAAAGCCTGGGGTCACCGGGAAGGGACACGATACTGCCCCTGAGACCATCTCACTTCTTATAAAGACCCACATATGACACCAACATATACAAAAGACACTCCTGGGAGTTGATGGGAGTGCTGGTTTGGTGAACTGGGTTTATCGTTGGTAGTGACTTTTAGGCAAATGCAAACTTCTCCGTAAACTCCAAATCCCAGAAGCCTACCTGCGGTCTCTTGCATCCAAGCTACATCCCCCTGGAGAGCAGCGGCGGTCTTGCCTGCTCCAGATAATCGTCTGAAACAAAACGTGCAACTGCATAGTCTGCAGAACCATCTCAGAGAGTCCAACCTAAAAAAGCCCAAAATCCACCGAGTTTGGTACAAATTCCTGGAGGAACTGGCAGAGGGTTTTCCTGCCTCGCTGCACACGTAGGTCTCTCCTGCAGGCACAGTCCAGGACTAGCAGGGGAACAAAAGCCATTCAACCCCAAAAATCAGGTGACATTTTTGCCAAGTTATGTCATGGCGTTGGGCAGGTTTGGGCTGTGGCACGTGGTCATAAAGAAAACCAGCCACCCAGCGCTGGGGGTGACAGGAGGGCCGTAAAACGCTCCCAGTAACTGCCGGCTGCCGAGAGCCTCCCGTGCAGGACCGTCACCTCGTTCCCCATTGCCAAGGCTTCTCCGGCTGCTTCAGGAACTGCTTAGGAGCTTTTATTGAGAAGGAGCTTTGCGGTTTGCAGTCTGCACAGGTAGTAAACTACATCGGAATTAATCCCAAATATATTTTAAAAAAGCAGAAAAGTCAAATTTTTTCTAATTTTTTTTTTTTTTTTTTTTTACAGAACAACCTGGCATTTTTAAAGTTTATTTTGAAATTGAAATAAAGATGAATGGGGCCTACACTAAAACAGGGATTGCAGCTAACAGAACGTCTCTGTATGGAATACAACAAGGAAATTATTTCCTCAAGGTGGAAATTTATTGCTCCAAGGTGGAAGGCAGAGTGTTTTAAAGAGGTTTTTAATTAATAAAGGGAAACGTGCCAAGAATGTGTTGCATGTTTGAGCTCTCTGCATTAAATACTGCTAACCTGTTGAGGGCTAATTTAGGCTTCAATTAATAAATTACAATACACACAGAGACATAAACAGCCTCCTGCACCTTCAGCAAAACGCATTTAGACAGCCCTATCACATTTTAAAACCAATATTAAGCAAAGAGGTGTTGTCTCTTGGGATGCCAAGCAGCTCAGGGCACTTGTCCCTTCAGGTCAGGATGCAAAGGCAAGTACCGAATGCCCCTGGAGCTGGAAAGCAGCGGCGCGGCAGGGCTTTGCAGGATATTTATAGCATCCCTGGAACAGGAAGGGACTGCGAGAGCCTAAAAAATTTTCCTCTTTGGTATTTTTTTCCCCCAGTAATGCCGTTCTAGGATCCTGAAGCCAGGATGCATTTTCCCAGTGGCCCCAGTCCCTTAGGTGTTAAGTCCCACCAACTGCCATCAAAACCTAGTGTTGCACGGCCCAGATTTTCAAAGGCATATAGGCTCTTAAAATTGCAGATTTGTGCTGAGTGGGATTTTTTTTTCAAAGCACCTCAACATTTTAAGCGTCTCAGGGGGGAATGGTGCCAAATCTTATCCTACAGGTTTTCTTCCTTGTGGTCCCCAGACGAGGCATCTCCTGGCAGTGAGTTCCACAAGTGCCTAGCGTGAGGCTCAAACCAACAAACACACGCTTACTCCGATTTAAATGTCTCCCCATTTCGCCATGCATCAATTTGCTTTCTTATAATCAGCCAGACCAAACTGAAGCATCTGATCCCCCAAGCCTAAACCATTCATTATTTCATGCACTTCTACGTGTCCTCCCTTCTCCCAGCGACACAGAATAATTAACATATAAAAGTCTGGTGATAAGTGAAGTTTACGATCCAAACTAGAGGAACGAAGGCTCAGAAGTGAACATTATAAGAGCCCTGTGCCCATAAACATCCCACTTCTGGTGGGCTACCCAGCCAATTAATTACACTCAGAAATGCTGGCTGAGCATTCATTGCCCACATAAGCTCCTTGCTGAAAAACAAACCTCCAGAGTCGTCAAGAGAAAACTAAGTAGGAGATGGTGTGCTGGAGAGAAAAATACACACAGACCAAGAATAGGACATGACCTATGTTTTATGGGGATTTTTTTTTTTTTTGAGTCTACTCTGCTATAGTAAAAAAGAAAACTCTCTTGTCTCCATGGGGGAAGGAGAAAAAAGGGAAAAACCAATGGCCAAGCCATGGGTTTCTTAAAAAATCATGAATTATTAGTTTTCGCCTTTGCTCATGAGCTACCACAAGTATCAGCCCCTCTCGGGCCAGGCAGCCACCGACACCTGGGTGCAGCAAAGCCTCCCCCCACCCCTGGGCTGGGGATCCCCCCCTCTGCTGTGACTAAACTAGCGAGTCGTGCTTTACCCTCATCCCTGTACTTGATGAGCTTGAGTACGCGGAGGGTCTGGAGATCTTTGGTTTGTCCCCTCCAGGTGGGTGCACGTGGTGATGTCCACAGGCAAGACGTGCGGGAGGAAGGTGAGGAGGAGGATGGTGGCATCCAAGATGTTGTAGCCGGTCTTCCAGTAGGTGATGGGAGCCACGTACAGCTTCAGCAAAAGCTTGGTGGTGTAAACAGTGATGAAGAAGACATCTGCGACCTGGAGAGAGGAGCAAGCAAGCCTGGGCAGCTGCCTGCAGCTGCCAGACCTCAAGCACTGAGCTGGCGCTTCCCCCGCTCTCATATTAAATGTCCCCAACAACGTCCCTCTGCCCACGGGGACCATTTCAAACGCAAGCCGAGCTCACCCCACCGCAGTCGTCATCACGGGTCAGCGCCCAGCACGGGAGGGTGCTGCCCACATCCCAGTGCTCCATGCACTCCATCAGCCCCTCGGAGCTGAGCACGCACCGCTCGCTTCCCCGCGCAGAGCCAGAGCTCTAGGAAACCTCCGACGCTCATGACTGGGTTTCTTGACATTAGCCAGGCCTGGCTATATATTACTGGGATATATAATTAAGGCTCAGAGGTTTGCGTACAGTAGCTGGCTTGTGTAAGACAAGGAAATCAAGGAGTGTGACAAAGAGGGATTTTTCAATGTGAAAATTGAGTATTAAAAGGGTGCTTAAGACTAGCAGTGCTAAAACCGCGAGGGGGGAAAGGGCCGCCATGGAAAGGACTGAACAATTGCATTTTGAGAATGATAATTATTGAATAAGTGAAGGGATCTGAAGCTGAAATGCATTTCATCCAGGCCCTGGGCTGGTGCAAGCAACAGCACAGGGGAGGACAGCGGGCTGGCAGCCACGTCGAGCGGCCGGGGGGGACATCCCCTCCATCCGTCCCCTCCTGGCCATGGCACGTGGGAGCGTGCCACCACGCCTCGCCTCGAACAAGGTGCCCCAGCACAGCCGGCAGCGGTAGTTGGTCTTCACAGCCGGGGAGCTGACGTTGATGGAGATGATGCAGATCACAAGCGCTGTGAATTTGTGGCTGCCCAGCAGCCTGCGCAGGGAGGCACGCAACTTGGCGTCCTTTCTCCTGTCAGAAACAGCGGCAGGGCTGGAGGGAGCTCTTTCAGTTTGCTGTCTTTGTTGGTTTTCCTGTGACCCACTCCAGCAGCCAGACCCAGCTGGAGATCCTGCTCCTGCCCAAGTCCTCCCTCCACCCGGGCTGAAGGGGACCCGAACCCGCAGGTGCCGCAGCACGGCATCACCTGGGGGGTAGGGCCGTGCCAAAAAGGGCTTTGGTCCGTGTGTGCCTGAGCCGGCAGAAGGGAGCACACCTTGCAACAGCCTCCAACAGACTCCGGAAGCATCTAGTAAGAAAATTGGAGATGATTTGTCCATTCAGGGAAAGGTCGGAATGCTCCATGTGCCGCTTCCCTGATGGCTCCATGAAATAGCCACGTACTCCTTTGCTTCCCCAAGTGACCCTTGGGACGGACGGCAGCGTGGAACTTGCTGTTTGATGTCACCAGCTTATGAGGACATCACACAGGCAAGTGCCAGGGCCAAGTCCTGGGTAAACAAAATTTCTGCATTAGCAGTATAACGAGCTCTTAATTTACTGGGTGTGAGTTGCTGAGCGGTTTAGGCGTAGACCCGCTCCTACCCGGGGCAGGAGATGAGCCAGGAGGATGCTGCACGGGCACCGGGTCCTGTCCCTCCCGGCATCCCCGGGTGACGTCCTGTCTCCGTGCCGAGGCGGGAGCAGCCGGCAGTGAAACACTGCCCACCCCACAGAGGAGCATCGCGCCATCGTGTCACCCTGGCGCCAGTGTCTAACAGAGAATAAAAATGCCAAGTGCTCTAACAACGAGGTGTGCGTTTGAGCTGTGTGGGGGGGGATAAAGCTCCTTCGTGCACCCACAACCGGTCTGGAAATGGTGCAGGAGCCTGAGCACAGACCTCTGCTCTTTCTGGGGACCCTTCCCAGGGCTCCAGCATCCCTGCAGCCTGCGTGGGCTGGCCTGGCTCGAACCAGAGGACCGCTGGCAGCCGTGCCTGGACTCTTCCCAAAGTTTGTTTGCAAACGAGTTGTCAGTTCCTCACCAAAGGGTCCAGCTCTGCAACAAATCTTCAGCATGAGCAGCGCTTATGTAAACACAGCCTTTGATGTCAGCAGGATAACTCACATCCATGTTTGCTTCTTGCCTGGGTTCTTTAGGAGAAAGAGTATTAACAATTGCCAATTTATTTCAAGTAGTCAGCATCTCTGTGCTCGCTAGTCTGGATGCTCCACGAGCACTTGTTCCAGGACACACACGTTTGGCTAATCCCGAGGTGCAGCTTTGAGTAAGCCATAAATATTTGTTTCTTGGAGCAAACAATTGTGAAAGACTGCAACTAGCTCGTGCAGAAGAACTCATTAGCTTCAGTTAATTTGCAATCCTTTCGTTAACCTGAGGCTGAAAAGGCCAGAGGAGATGATACACACACCTATTAGAAGCTGCAGAAAGCTTGAAGCTTTCAAAATTGCGTTTTGCATCATTGAAAAGCACTCGCGGATGAGGAAAAGGCAGGGTGGGAGCGAGGACCTGGCAGGCTGCAAGGCTGAGCAGGAAGGTAGTGCTGGGGCAGGGGTCTGGGCAAACCCAGAAATTGTGCTGATCACCAAAAACTGGGGAGGCTGCAAGCGTGCCTGACCCAGGGCCAAGCCATCTGGGGGACATAAACCAACAGAAAACTCCAGTCCAACGGGATCTGCCCTCTGGTTTCACTCTGCTGAACTCCCAGGGCTCCAGGAGGGGCCGATGCGGAGCCAGCAGGCACTGGCACAGCACCGGACACATCCCAGGGGATGCTGTGACCCCTCCAGCCCCATCCTGGAGCTGAGGACGTGTCACAGACAACGGGGAAGCATCCGAAAAATAACCGTGTCGGTCTGTTCTTCCAGCCTCGAGCAGCAGCTGGGTGAGGACACATCTTCATTAGTCTTCTAATGTCCAAACTGCCCCTGATGAGAGAGGTTAATTAACAGAAAACCCACCTCTTCTTCAGCCACTCCACCACCACGCCTCGGCCACCAGTCTGGGCAGCCAGGAGGAGGAGGAAGGGCAGGAGGAACCCTGGCGCGATCGGGCAGAGCCATAACTCACAGAGCAACACAGAGAAGTTTGTTTTCCAACACGTTCCTGCAGAGCTGCCTGTGGGACCTCATCCCCAAAACCCCTGGAGCACATCCGATGCCGACGCCGTCCCTTCCAACGTGATTTTTGCAGTTTACTGGACCTGAGCTCCCATTTTGGGGAAAGGAAAGGATTATTCGCTGGCTCTGGTTCAGAGACGGTCCTGCGAAGGTGTGATCTCCAGCCTTGCAGGACCCAAGCAGTGATCCCAACCACGTAGCATGCTGCGGGCATCTTTCCTGCTCTGCTCTCTCAGCCTCGAGTTTTTGCTTTTTAATTTCCTGTGGCCACGGAGCACCATCGGAGGGTCTCCCAGGGACAGCGTTTCCCACACGCCGTGGACTAGGTTGGTGGGGGGGGCGGAACGTACTGAGTTAAATCAGTCTCGACACAGGGAAGTTACTGCAAGGAGAAGGCTCGTCTGTGATGGATTATCCAAACACTTCAAGCCACAATCAGCCTTAAAGCAAAAAAAACCCCAAACACTCCAGGGGAATATTTAACCTGGTGGCTGCTAGCCACGAGCCGAACCTCACAGCAACAGGGAAATGTGATTAATTCGCCGGCACGGCATCGTCCCGCATCGGGGTGCGACCTTACAGGCGCACAGGGAGCAGGCACCAAACTGACCCTGAGGAGAAGCTGGCACAGGGGATGAAGCCGTATTTTGGGCAGCTGCTCGATCCGTAACATCACGGAGCAGCGCAGCTCCAGCGATGCCATCACTTGGAAAAGACCCAAACCCTGCGCTCTGGCTACTTTTGTTCAGAGCGGAGCTGACGATGCTCTTCACAAGAGAAGGCGCCTTAGGCTGAGTTTCCTGGCCCCAATCCAGCGCCTGTCATTAAATCCTTGCTGTATAAATTTCCTGTGAAGTTCCAGCTCGGTCAGGGAGACTGTGCATCCCCCCCGTGCCCCTCAGCATCCTGCACTCACCGCAGCAGCACACGTGCAGGTGGAGAAGAGCTGGGGAGATGCAGGAGCACGGAGCGGGGATACAGGAGCACGGAGCTGGCTGGCATGGATTTAAGGAACCATGTGAAGGGGGGGGTGAGGGCTCCTCAGCATCGCGGGGCTCCCCTGCCCAGCTCTGCAGAGATCAGCCAGTTGAGGATGCTGCTGAGATGGGGCAGGAAGTGGGATTCAACGGGGGTTCACCGCAGATTTGGGATGCCTATCAAAAATGCTGGGAATCCTGTCCAAAAAGAAAAAAAATAACCTCAAAATAAAAGGTGCTTTTATAAAGAAAGAAATCGCTGGTGCCTGCAAGGCAAAGCGAAGCCCAGGAGAGTGCCATTGCATCCCGACCCGGGCAGGGAGCAGCCAGCAGCAGCCGAACAAAACCAGGAGGGGCCGGAGGCAAAGGCAGCGCCGTGGTGTGAGCGGCACAGCGGCACATCTCTTTGTGCCAGCACCGGAGCCAGGATTGCACTCGTGAGCCCGCCTATTCGCTATGTTTATTTTATTACTATCAGTGTTGCACACCAACTCTCAGGAAAGGCACTCGCAGGTCTGTGGGACGCCCCAGAAGTTCACAAGAAATCGTGGCCAAAGAAGCGCTGACCTAGAAAGTATGAGTGTTTCAAAGGCATCCTCCTCTTTTCCGAGTGTTTTCACCTCTTTGCCCGTCAGGGATCCTCAAACCACCACGGCTGCACAGCTCTATGCCATAGCTGGACAGTGCAGCTCTCCGAGCTATGTTAGTTGCTGGGGATTTTTTTCTTCCTCAGAATATGTAAATAAATATCAATATTCTAAACCTAAGACCTCCCAGTAACTAAATATTATTTATCTTAAATTTATCTTAAAACTAAACAGCTTTGTCACATATGTACAATAATAAAGAAACAAATTACAAAGGAGGAATTTGATTTTATTGGTTTTATTCGAAGTGCACGCATTATATATCAATTTCTAACAGCAGAGTTTTCACAGTCCATTATAGATGCTGTCAAAACTTTGGGTGAAGCTCGTTTCACTTCCCCACCAATAACAGGAGCCATCACAGCCTGGTTGTTTGTTTTAGTTTTATTCATTCCTCACAACAGTGACCATTTTCAAACCATATCAGGGAAATCCGCCGCTTCACTGGGGAAAGGCACTTGGAAGCAAAGAACATTTGAGCACGTAGTCTGAATTTTGGGTCTTTTTAGGTATTAACTTGATATCCCAAGTAGGGTTACTGACAATAAACCCCACATCTTGCTTCCCGCGACCAATTAGCACATGACAGCGTGCTTGCTAAGGATTAACAAAAAATACCTTTCTTATTTTATCGACTCGAATACTTGCACGGCAGCTAGTGGCATTTTGCATCCCGAATATCTGAGAGACCACACACCTCACATATACACCCGATACAGATTTTGGCACTCACGTATCTCACTTCTCGGTAGCCGGTGGCTGTGCCGCCGGTGTCATTCGAGTAATGCGCTCAGGCATTTCGGAGGTGTCAATCTCCCGGGAGCTCCGCACCCAGAGCTGCTTGCAAGGCATGACGGCGCACGTTGGGGACGCTCGGCAGCGGGATTGCAGAGCGAGAGGCCCTTCTGCAAGCCTTAAGCAGGTTGAAATCTCCCTGCCGGCAGTGGAAATCTGTCTCGGTGAGGATCATAGGATAAAAACAAAGACTTTGAAACCACGGAAGAAATTATTTTAAAGCTCGTCAGTGGGATCTGCAGCTCTTGGAACAATGTTTGCAATGAGTAATTGTAGCCACAAAAGAAAAAAAAAAAAAACAAAAAAAAAACCAGTGAGCATAGCTTCAGCCGAGCCCAGCTTAGCGAGAATCCTGCTAATGCCGCTTCCTTCACCGCCGGCAGCTCTGGCCGGTGCTGCGGGCACCCGGCCAAGCTACACCCCCCAACCCGGCAGGTACGGGAGCGTTACAACACAAATAATGCCTCAATCCTGCAAGGTGCTGAGCACTGATCCAGCCCAGCCAAGCATTTAAGCTCTTGCTTCATTTAATGATGTGAGTGCCGGAAGCTCACTGGGATATTTCTGTATTTGCTGGACCAGATCTAAAGTTTTCAGCAACTGCAGGATCCAGCCCTGCATCTCAGATGGGGAACACCGACACGTGCAGGTGGGCTCCTGCTTTCATCCCAGCTTTAGTTTCTAGAAAAAGATTATTCAAAACTTATTTGTTGCTGGTTTATATCTGCTACATCCTCACGCAGAGCCAGGGATGGCAAAGGACGAGCGCAGCATCCAAAGGGGTCTCTCAGCCCAAGGTCTTAAAGGCCAACAAAACTAAGCCACTCTTTTTACCAAAATATCTTGTCTCAGGGGTTTTGTGAAATCAGGGTCACAAGGAATGAAGGATACCCTTTCAAAATACAAAATATTGGTGGACACTGTATTAAAGCATTTTACATCTTGGTTACACCGAGGCAGCAGCTTTGTCAATAAACTGAGCCAGCTTCACATCTCTCTTGGTCAGTCCACCGCAGTCGTGGGAAATCAGAGTTATCTGAACCTGTCAAAAAGGAAAAGAAAGGGGTTACAAAGCCAGTTTGATCTCTGCCAAGTAGGCTGAGCAGCAATTCATCAGGAACGCTGCGTGTCTCTCTGGCAAACTGGTTTTACGCGATGCTCCCGGCAGGCAGCGAGCTGGATGCTCGCTGCTCACGTAAACCAGGAGACGTTGTAGGTGAGGAGGCTTAGCAGAGCCTGAAGTCTAACCGAAGCGAGCCCCTCCGCAGAATAAAACAGGCTTTGCATTCTTGGGATTCATCCAAGAAGAGGTGTCCGATTAAATAACTCATTCTTTACATTTAAATTCCACGGATCGGTTTCACGAAGAACCCGGGCCAGTGACCAAGCTGCCAACAGCCCAGTCAGGGGCTCACGCGTTTTGTTAAAAACCAGCACCCTGAAGGTGAAAAAATTGTTAAGCTTGTTGCAGATTAATTTAAAAAAGAAAAACAAACGGACTGGTGCATTTTGCTATGACGCAGCTGCCTGCACGGGTTTGTTTAGACTAAGCCAGATGACAAGTTGGGCGTTACTTTGTCTCGCATTTGACTGAGATTTTGGGAAGACTGAAGAGGGGAAAAAAAAAAAAAAAATCTGAATATTCTGGAAAACCAAGAAAATAATGAAGAGCAGGTGATCAGGACTTTGTCCAGTGATCACTTAATGTCCCCTTAAACAGGGTGACCTAAAGGGCTGATGAGGAGGAGCCTGTGCTGGGATGGATGCCTCGCTTAGGGGGACAAGGTGGGGATGCTCTGCTCTGGGGGGGTGAGGTGGTGGTACCTTTTAGTATAGGTTTAGTGGGATTGCCATATATTCACCAAACACTAAAACAAACAGCTTGATACAATGCAATGAGAAGCATTAGAAAACAAAAATAAAGGCAGAGCAATAATTTCCCCCTTCACACAGCACCTTTCATTCGAGGGTTACAGTATACCTTGTAACCCTTGTAAATATGAGACCACCACCAGTTAGGTAATATTATAAACAAATTTTATAAGCTGCTATGTTGAGACATAGAAGGCTACAATTTTTAAAAAATCAAACCTAAATTGAGACTGCTGGGTTCCCATTTACCTACACATTGACGGTTTGCTACCCTACACCGCTGGGTTCTCGACTTGTTGCACTGAAAGGAATGAAAGTTGGTGAGTGTTCAGTAGTTTGAAAACAGTCATTTATTCAGGTTGGCCAACTAAGAGTTTAAAGGCTTCTATTTTATTTTTACCTCTCAGCCAGAGAGGTGAAGTGAGAGGTCCAAACCATGCAGCCGGTAGCAAACAATTGCAAAGAGCTTGATTCCTGGGGCTGAATCCCCACCACAAATACCTCAATATCTCTTTAAAGTCTCAAATCTCTTTCCATTCCCCTACCTCTTCCTTGTATATAAGCTACAAAAGAAGGCAGAGAGAATGGGCCAGTGGTTCGTTCTCCTTAACTTGCCACGCCTGGAAGCAGGGCTGGTGAACACGTTACCTTGCTGTACACATTAAACCATTCCGGGTGGTGATTCATCTTCTCTGCTTGCAGAGCAACGCGCGTCATAAATCCAAAAGCCTAAGGAGAGAAAGAGCAAAGAGGAAAATATACTCCTCCACCTGCCAGGCCTGGCAGTGGATCTGCAAGGTTCACTCCACAACCTCAAAAACTCCTAGAGATGCTCCAGATCGCTGCACCTCGGGTGTGTCAAAGGAGTGTTTCACCTTCTCATGCCACCGATGCATCTTCTGCGACTGCTGAAATCATCTCCTACATCACTCTGCTCAATGTTACTGACTCCAGGATTCAAAGCCATTGCACGAGAGCAATGATTTTACCCTTTGGCATCCAACAGTGTTTTTAAACACCCATCCCAAACCCCTCATCCCTTACTGCATCTTAGAAACGTGCCATTTCTAATTAAGCATCATGCCACAGTATTCCTGTACTAGACAGATACCACTCCCCGAAACACATCCTTTCTCATAACTATTTTGCTATTTACTTTACTGGGGGGAAAAGGCAGCAGGTGGGTTTGCCCCTCTGCTTTATGAGAAAATATTTTCCCTTAAAATGAGTTAAAATAGGTTTCCCGATCCCCTGCCCCTATATTCTGCACGGCACGCTCCCCCAGGACGCAGCTTTTATCACAGGCTCAAGAAGAAAATAATAGCAGGCCCTTGCCAAAATACTTAGGAGCAAATCACTGCATTATAAAGAAAATTAGAATGTCCATGTCAATCAAGAATGCAATTACGCAGCGGGGCCCGAAGGGCTTCGGTGCGTGAGCAGGACGCCTCTAAGTCAGCGAGCTTTGTTCATACCGAGCTCCATCCATCGGGGTTCGGGACCTGAATTAACATGCACAGCTAAAGTAACATCCACGTTATAGTCTGGTTCGTATTATAATACAAAAAGCTCAACAAAACCCTACCTGATTTAGGTAGGTTTTTAGTGCTAATTTATGGAAGAGAATGTATATAGCCCGCATTCCACCAAGCAATGGCTGTTTCAAACAAACATGTGGTCAATGAATAACATATAATGGTTGATAATAGTTTCAAGTCTTTTTTCCTCTCACAAATTACAAAAACCTTTAACTAAAAAAAGGAATCAGTGCCTGGATGAAGTATGACTTTGTTAGTCGCTTTGCCAGTCAAATGAATGCAAACGTTATAATCAGAGAAAATCATTCCAATGAGGTTTGTCATTTGGAAATCACCAAACTGTCAGCAATTAAAAAGCTTTTTTCTTTGACCCAAGAGCATTCCAAAATTCGGGAAAATCTAACTTCCCTTGAAGCTCTCGCTCAGTTTAGTTTTACTTGGAGCGAACAATTACGTTTAAAAATTTGCAAATGTTTCAGCAGCAAGCTTTGAAGCAGAAAACTGCAAGTTCTGCATTAGATGTTAGCAACAATTTGGAAAACTCCTGCATTAACAGTTCTGAAAGATATTTGATTTAAATGTTTTTAGAGCGTCCATGGGCTTAATAGAACGCTACTTCCAAGACGGCAATCCATACACAGAAATGTCCCAAAAAGTTTAAACCAGCAATGCATCCGCAACTAGATTGCCTTTGTAGAAAAAAAAACCAGCAACGGAAAAAACCCATTAAATTTATGAAAACCCTACCAGGTTCACGCACGCTCTACCAGTGTCTGTCTGTCCATCTGAGGAACTCACCCACCTACACGAGCACGTTACACTAGACGGGCACAAGTCATTGATCGCGCGACAACAATCATCGCTCCAGCGGAAGGCAGACAGAGCCAACTCCGCAAGCAAACGAGTCTACTAAATTAATCTGCTCTGCAGACCTTTGCGCTTCATGACAACAAATCCTCTCCCACCAGTGGGCCACCAAATCCTCTCCCACCAGTGGGCCACCACGCCAACCCACTGCCTCTTCCCCCGCAGCCAGTAAAAAGCCTCCAGCTGGACAAACCAGAGATTGGTCTCAACACTGTCCATCTTCCCGCAGAGTGCTCAACTTGGGGCTGTCGGAATCACGACGAGGAATGAATTCTGGCGCAGAGGACCCTCCCCAGGACAGGTCCTGCTGCTCGTTGCTCCAGTTGACCATGACTGTCCCAGCGGGGGCAATGTGGTGTTGCAGCGAAGGACGACAGCGTGCACACCCGCCAGACATGCCCACCTTTCTGCACGCCCCGCTCGGCTCAGGGACGTGCTCCCTCACTGCACATTACCCAAAGCAACTTCTTGCATTTTAGTTTATTTTAATTATACGCAAAAAGCATCTCCCACCAAGAAAATGAGCTACACTTCTACCGAGTAATTTCACCAGCGCAATCTCTATTAAGGTCCTAAATACTTCCTTTGCTAATTAAATGAATTAGAATGCTATTGTTTATGAATCACCTTTATATTTGTAGAGCCATAACCTTTCTTAGGGAAAATACAATTGGCTCTGGAAGGAAAAGATATTTAGGTTTGATTAGATATGAAAACACTATTACATAAAATCAGTTTGGACATTTCTTCACGTCTTGAAACCTGATCGGTAATTTGGTC